GATGTGTAGGACAGAGTAGATCATGAGGAAGGAGGAGAAAGTTGGGGGCTGACGTGGGTCTGGTTGGTGACCACGTCTGTCCATGCTGTGTAAGCCCTGGGTTCCTGTACTGGTATCAGGAAGTGGGAAGCACACGCCCACACTTCGGTGAGTTGAGCAAGCTCACAACACAGGTGAACAGCCTCGTCCCATATTCCAGACAAATGTCTGTCAGGCAAGCTTTTATTGTCAGGAAGATGGAAGACACCAACAAAATTTGCATTTGACACTGTCTTTATAACAAATAGCAATAAAAGGAGGTTCCATTGCAGTAGAAAGAGCCTGAAGACAATGAAGTAACCTTGATTTGCTGCAGCTGAGAAGGGTTCCCTCAGAGAAGGAGTCCTGAGCATCCAGTCCGGGTCCTGACTTAGCCCTGCTCACGGGTGGCCAGAGCAAATGAAAGGCCTGACAGGGAAAGTGAACAAGCCATCCTCGTACCTCCAAAGGAGGGAGCGCCTGGCAACGTCCACAAAACCCATACTCCCACTGTCAAAATCAAGGAACACGCCAACCCTGCCCTGAGGTTTCTCTATGTACAGAGGAGTGTTCGGGATGGTGGTCCAGAGACGGTAATGATGACCCTCCTTCACACACACAAGGAGAAAGTTGTCCCTGTTGGATTCCTTCAGTATGCCGTCATCCTTCCTTGTCCAGGAATCCTTACACACACCTACAGCCCAGTCCCAAGAGCTGTCCACATCCACCTCCCAGTACTGTTTGCCAGAAGTGAAGCCCCGGGATCCCCATGCAGCAAAATACTGCGATGTTCTGCCATCCAAAGACACATAGAGGGTGTCATGCTCATACTTCAAACTTCTTGCATCATCAAACAGCCTGATGTGCTGGCTGCTTACTTCATTATTGAATGAAATTGTTACTGTGGAGAGATGAGAGAATACTCCAGTCAAAATCAATGTTAAAAATAAAATTATGTCTGTGAGAGAAGAGGGTCCACCTAGGGTCTCACTGGGAGAAAAAAGAAACACAAAAAAAACTCCTTAAGATTATAAGAAGTGCAGTTCTAACTGGAAACATTGGATTCAAATCTTGCCGGGATATCTGCTGAGGAAACGGATAACTAGTTACCATGGAAAACACTTCCTAAAAATTCAGAGATTATACAGGATAGGTAGGTCATGGCTACTTCTGGCTGGGTACTTTTCCTGACAGCTAAAAGACTGGACACCGGGCACTGATCACCAAGACCATGACAATATAACTCACCTCCACCTCCACTACCACTGCTCAGGGAAAAAAAATACATTGTAGAGTAGAGAACTGGTGATCATTCTAGCATCTCAGTTAAGTTAGCAAATGGACACTGCAAAAACAAAGCCTAAGGATGGCTTCTTAAAAGTGGTTTCCTTGTAGGAATTTCCGCCTTTGATATGTGGTTCCAACGTGAGGCCTAGTCTTCCACTTCCTGCTACGTTACCCTCCAGATTTAGGTTGATCATGAAGCTCTATGTGGCTCATCAACCACCAATTTGCTTCCTTGTTGTTGTTCACAAATCCTGGTTTCTGCATCTAATTTTTGTGGCTTATATATTTTTTTCTGATTATGTCAATGGAAAAAAACACATCATACATTCAATTGCCAAGAAACTTTCAAGCAAAAATGTTTTTGACCTCTAAGTAACTGCACTTAGACCCTGAAATTGGAGTATCCTGGATTAATAACCCGTTTTCTAGAATTCAGTGAACAACTGACATTGTATGTGATGCTATTTCTAGGGCTCAAGGAGCCATTTTTGGAGCATGCCCTTTTTTTCATTATAGAAATTATTTATCAAATTTATGAGTAAGTTATAAGGCCTGAATCACATCTATCCCTGCACCAGCCTGCATGTATTTTGTAAGGATTTTAATGACTCTGTGACTACACATGTCTATACCTGCCTATTTGCAGGCTGTTCTGTACAAGGTGAGAGATGAAGAGGGAAAGATTGTCTGTGGAAACATTATTGAAGGACCTTGCAGGGTGGACACACCGATGGGGTGACACTCACCTCGGAAGCGGTTGAGCCAGTCCATCAGCCCAGTGATGGGTCGTGCACGGAGTTCCGGCAGCAGAGGCTGAGGCATGTGCAGCTGTGCTGACTCGCTCCTGTCAGGAGGAAGACGCGGTTAAACTTTCTGCTGGCCAGGACTTCTTAACCACAGCCTTTAAGAAGAAGTCAGCATCCTTCAGCTCAACTCTCTTATCAAAATCCTTTTCTCCACAATCATGGGATGGGATCATGCCTTTCTTAGGAAATTTTTTCTCACTTTAATTCACGACCTGATTTCACCCCCATTTCTCAGAGACACTTGCCTCTCTCACCTAATGCTTGGGAAGTACTAGTCCTTGCAGTTCAGTGTGTTTATGATTTTGAAATTTAAATCAGAAAAAAACTGGCCTTTTAGAAACTTCTGCATTGAGCTCTGCAGCACATACATCTCTAAGCCACAGGAGCAAACTTCTGATGCTCAGTTCTGATGCAAACGGAACAGGAAATCATACTCAGCAAAACAGGCACCACACAAGCACACACAAGCCATGTAGTATTATCTAGTAAGTTATGTGTTCCCTTTGTTAAATGCAGCTTGATCTCTTTCACAGCGCCCTGGTCAGCATCACAAGATTAGACTTACCATTTCAGTTTGTCTCCCAATTCCTGTCAAAAATAAAATAAAAAAATATAAGGTTAGACTTCTTCATAAATAGCCAACCAGGATTTGGTTTGGGGAAAACTTCAGAAGACATCTAATCACCACCACAAGAAAACAGTCTGGAAAATCCGTTTTCCTTTTTCTCCCTAAAGAAAATTCTGGCACGATGTGTTGAAAGAATCTAAATTCTTAATAAATTAACAAACCTGAGGGTGAAAGAGAAAGAGCAAGAGAGAGAGAGAGAGAGAGTGAGAGAGAGAGAAAGGACAAAGGTAGTGATTGTGCATTGCTGCAACCCTCAGCTCTCTGTAAATTCGTCTTTCCTAGGGCTTGTCCAAAAGGGTAATATGCCCCTCCAAAAAGGCAACTCAAACGTAGGATATCCCAACAGGAGGTGGAAATATATGAGCTTTTGCCAAGTTTCTCCCATTGCCCAGCTGGAGATCAAAAAACTGAATGACAATACATAAGTTGTTCCTTTCTGGTTTTGACAGAAGCAAGCTACAAAAGGAGATTTTGAGAAGGGAATATTCCTGGGGAGTCTCCATAATAACAATTCTGTAAAGCTTGTTCAATCATGGTTTGGATGAGTTGCATTTCATCTATAATATTTCCAACTAGGAGAGACTCCCACCTTAGAATGCAAGAGATGAATAAATATCCCCCTGGTACCATTTAATGGTCATTGAAGGTGTGAGCTTCAGAGAAAATATTTTCAGTCCTCAGTTCTTACCTGGAGTAGCTCCACATCTGGTTTATAGGACATTTTCATGAGCTCTTTGTATATTACTTTGAGGTCTGTCTTCTTTCCACTCATTTCCTCTTGTCTTTTTCTGATTTGCTTACAAATCTTTTACAATACTCCCTAAGTAGTAATTTTCTTCCTCCTGAAGAAATGGAGTTACCATCTGATAAGTTTTCCTAATCATGTCTCCATATCGATACACGTAGAACTGTTGTGAGATGGATTTCAACCGCATTTAGTTTGCTCTGATTCATGTTCTCTCCCAAGAAGCTACATCCATCCCAAATTCGTATCTTCTAAAAAATCAATTTATTCCTCTTTCCCTCACTTATTTTTCATTGTTTTTAACTACATCAAGAGCCAAATCCACCCTTTCCTCAAACCACTTTCATCAAATTCATGAGTTCCTGAAACATCTGGAGAAAATCTTTTCACGGATCATTTCTTTCATATGCCTGCTTTCAAATCTGAAAGACCCCATGCAAGCAATTGAAATGTATGGGCGATTCCTACATCATATGCAATATCCTCACCTCAATGTTAATAAGTAAATTCGTTTCTCATCTCAATCCTCCCAAACTCCACAGCCCGAGTTTCTCTCTGAGCAGCCATGTTCCATTTTACTCTCAGGGTTAGTATCCTCAGGAAAGATCTTCCTAAGAATCTCACCTACTGCCCTCAAACAGGTGCCAATCCCCATAGCCCTTTCTTTCTGCCCTCCCTTTTTGTATAAACAGGTTCTGTCCTCCCTCTGAGGCCACAGCCTCCTTCCCATATTGTTTGGAAGGTCATTCATCCTCATTCCATTGCATATTCCCTCTCAGTATTGATGGATTGACTTTCTCACTCTCCATCTCTGTCTTTCTCCTTGTTCCTTTTCTCCCTGAGGTTTTTCTTTAACATGTCACATTTTCTCCTACTTGAATTAATGTCACTCTCTAGCTAGTGAGCTGTCGCTTTTCACGATCACAGGCACACCCCTTAAATTCCTGTTCATGTCTCCTTTGTATCACCTGGGCTCATGTACTAATCAGACTGAAGCACTTGTGGTTCCCAATGATATGCCCTTTACTTTCTGGAATGTATGACTTACAGAAATCTGTGCCTGAAATAACCCACGGATTTTTAAACACCCACTTGATCTTCAGACGTGAGATTGATCTTAAACATGAGAAATTTTCCCTGGGATCCCGAATCATGGGCGTGGAATCGTCCACATCACTCCATGTGCCTCCACCTTAGCACTTGTGCCACATTCTTCTAGTGGATTTTTGTTGTGGGTACTCATCCATTAGATTCTAAAAAACCCAAGAGGCGGGGTTTGTGGGTTCAAATGATACATAGACAACGTTTTTCAATGGTGCTCAACCCATTCTCAGAATTTCATGGCCCATGATGGTTTCACCTCAATTATTCAGGGACAAGTTTCTAGCATGTCTGCCTCAACTTGTTTCAAAGAGAAATACATGCTCATTCTTACCATCCAAGGGTCAGTTCCTCTGCCATTTTTCTTGAGATTTCTTTCAATCTCTTGGATCTTTTCCCATAAAGATCTCATTTCGTTTGCCAGCTTCTCCTGTAAAATAATTGAATTTTAACACCAGAAAAGCAAATAGATTGGGATTTCAGAACCCAAACGATGGAGTGTACCCAGGGATGTCAGGTACAGGACCTAGAGGAAGACTGGAAGGACCGTAACAGATCACCACATTCCCCTATTCTGCCTCACTATGGATCAGTTTTACAAGATTCCACACTACAGAACCACACACCATCAGGGAATCTTAGATCTCGGGAAAGGAACAGGATTTTCTTGAGCATGGCTAATTTTCAGGTAGTTTGGCACCTTGCATCAGAATTTGGATGTAGTGATGCTCGCTGCCTGCTAATTCCAATGTACTGCATCTTCCTTCTTTGTCCAGAGTCAGGAAACCTGTATCCAATGGAAAAGACTTTTTGCACTTGTAGATTTTAGAGCCAAAGACTCTTTCTCAAAATGAAGGCTTTATAGAGCCTTGAGCATAATAATGTATCACCCAAAGAATTTCAATTAACTTTATCACCCAGCCATTGGATACAAGTTCCATAAAGGCAAGTAAGCTGCAGCATTTTCTTCATAACTTCGACATTGCTAACTTGGTCCGTACCTGGCACTCAGTAAAGAGAGGGTTTAATCATCATTATGTTCATAATATCCTTTTTTAAAAAATATTTATTTAATTTATTTATTTCATTGCACCAAGTCTCAGTTGCGGCTCGCTGCCTCCTAGTTCTGGCATATACACTCTTTGCATGCATGTGGGATCTAGTTCCCTGACCAGGGATCGAAGCTGGGCCCCCTTCATTGGGAGCATGGAGTCTTAACCACTGTGCCAC